GCGCGCCGCGCTGTCGTCTTCTGTCGAAAACCACTTTCTTCGACTCTTTATATGCCGTATTTATTACTTTCTTTCTTTCTTTTTTTTCTCTCTCTCGCTTTTCTAGCCGTCGAGCTCTCCTCTCCTCGTGTACCTCGTGCGGTCTCCCGGCTAAACTTCAACATCTTGTCGTACGAGCCATAAATTGAAGTAAACTCATTTGAATTTCGAATGCGCTCTCTCGCCTAGCTCTCGAGTGCTAGTGTTTCTTTTTTTTTTCTGTGTCGAGGCAATTCTACGAGGCTCAAATTGTACACGGTATTCTCTTTCTTTACACTCGTGCATCGTAGTTGCTTTATCCTCCTCGAATTTTCATCTTATTTAAAAATAGCTCAATCGCGCGCGTGAGTTTCTACATTGTACGACGTGAAATTCAATCGAGCGTGGAATCACCATTACTGCTGCGCGACAGTGTGTTCGCAGTCTTTCGCTCCTTAACCGGCGAACGTCTCGAGTCAATTAAGAAAATTGTATTACATTACTTCGCGCTCGGACGGATTTTCATCCGTTGATATCTCTCAATTGTCCAAAAGGTTGATTATTAATTAGTTATATCGCGAATAAAGTTTCTCGTCGCTCCAGAGCGAGAGAGAAAGAAAGAGAGAGAGAGGGGTAAGCGAAGCGAGAGCTGTTTTCTCGAGTGACGACGACGACGACGATCGAGGCGAGCTTTTGCGGCCGACGCAATAAAGCGCGCACAGCTCTCCTGGCCGTTTTAATAAAATCCAGAATTATTAATTAAAAGCAAAAACGTCGCGCGTGGGCGTTCGGTCGTGGCGTGAAGGGTAAACGACAGCAGCTCTTGGCGCTGCTTCAACTGCTTCGGCGTCGTCAAAGGTGGCAAATTGTGTTCAAGTTCAACCAATTTTATGCGTTAAACTGAAGGAGCTTTACAAGAGCGAGCGGCGAGAGAGAGGCGAATTCTTCATTGCATAACTCATTCGTCATCGCGCTGACTGCCAGAGTCTCGTTGTCTCATAAGCTCGCCGTATCCCACATTTCGAATCAATCTCGCTCGAGCTCTCTGCCACCTCGAGGTACTACTACTACTCGGTAATTCCCTCGCCCCATCCCACGCAGCTCGGCCCGCTTGTGAATGAGCTAGTTCCGTGAGACTCCTTATATATAGTTTCGAGAACTTTGGTTATTTTTCTTTCCAGCGGCGTTTGTGGACTTTTACTTAACTATTTTATATGCCGTTTTAAATTGTATTATCCACTTGACCTAGGTAACTCACGATCGAAACAAATAAATTTATCAATTAATCAATTTCTTCTCTAAATCTTTAAAATCGTCAAAATTATCACCGCTAATTTGCATCTAAAATATCTTCAGGTGGATAAATCCGAGAAGCTATAGTAAGCGCATACACATCTCTATACACCTTGGCTTAATGACATATATATATATTCTTTATCCTCGAGTCCGCATGCGTGCGTGTGTCTATGTGTGTGTGTGTGTGTGTGTGCGTCGAGCCCCGAGCTTCAACTTCTACGCGAGTGAAAAAGTTTTGGTCCTCGCTTGCGACGACGCATACTAATTAAAGCCTTGGCAGAATGAAATTAGTCAGCCATGTCGCGCGCGCTTCGCTTCTGCTGCTGCTACTAGTACCTTACTGCCACACGCTATATAGGCTTTTGCGAGCTTTATAGACGAGGAGGGTCACTGTATAGCTCGAGAGCCGCTTATGATAATGAAATAATACCCTCTTGCCCTATCCCCCACCCTCCCGCTTCTTTCTCATCTCGTCCCGCGGCTCTCGCTCTTATATAATTTGCCACTCTCTGTATATATAGAGAGAGAGATGAGAGATACACCTTTCTGCCTCTTTCGTTTCTTTCGAGGCTCGCGTAGAGTGAGGGAAGAGAGAGAGAGGCTCAAGCCGCAAGCTCATTATGCGCCTAGTTCACAACTTCAATTGGATTCTTGCTTATACCGTCGGACTTTTATACAAGAATATATATTGTGATATAATATAATGTATTATATACTCGCGTATATAATTTCTATCCCCCTCTCATTTTTACTTTTTTTCATATACTATCGAGGAAAATTTTTCATACCCATACGTATATAATACGAACGCACCCCGTGACAGCGCAGTCGTGGGCCAAAAAAGTGAGAAAACGACGTAATAAGTCGTATATGCTCGGCGAATTATGCTCGAGATTCGCTCTGATCGTTCAATCATCCCCCTTTACCCGAGGCTGCAGTGCAGGCGATTTTCCGCGTACATAGTCGGGTATTATATATAGATGAGAGAGCGACAGAGCTCCATTGGCTCCGATATCCACTCTTTCTCTCTCTCTCGTGCGCGCGCGGTAAGAATATGTGCATCTTCGCTTGAATCGTCACGTATAAATAACCACTCTTACATACATTATCCTGGGGGACAAGTATGTGGTGCTGCTGGTGGTCTCTCTCTCTCTCTCTCTCGCTCGCTCCGCGAGAATCCAAAGAAAATCTGCGAGTATGAATTTCCCTTCTTGAACTTTTAAATCTTCTCCTTCTCTCTCTCTCGCTCACTCTTTCACCCCATCGTTCGACTCTTACACATACATAGCTGTGTGTGTGAGAAAGCGCGAGAGAGCGAGTATAATAACGAATATGCTGCCTCGTAAATAAATGGCTCGGCTTCAGCTGCTCGAGCGTCCCGAAATATAACCACCGCGGCGTTCTCTCTCTCTCCCTCTCTTATATAGACCCCGGGCCGCCGCCGCGCGTGAGCTCGTCGTTTCTCTTTTATCTACTGCTACAATTCACTGATCTTACTTTATAACGAGTAAAATCCCCGAGAGCATGCATCAGTGGAGTAAGAGTAAGAGAGAGCCGCAGTAGTTACTAATTCATACTTCATAATGTGATATCTGATTTATTTTTAATCCATTATTTAATATGCGCGCTCGCGAATATTGCCGAAAAGCAGTGCGCGCACCGCACAAAAAAGCTCGCAATTAAACACTCGCCTCGCATATGGCGCGCACCATTAAATGTCATTATACGACGAGATATGTCAATATAAGCGCGCGGCGCGCATGATAAATAACGCGCGGATCGTAAAAATTTATTAGCTGCCGCCGCTGCCGCGCGAGGAAAGAGAAAGAGAACGAGTTACGAGCCCATCCTCCTCCTTCTACCACCACCGTATACCAAACGTACGTTTACGACTTACCGCGCGCGAGCTTTATTATTATTATTATATACGTACACGACTTTGGATTTGAAAAATTGAATTTTCGGCTTGTATATTTATTTTTTTTTATTTTTTTTTATTCTCTATCCGAAACGAAAAACGTATACGATATTATTTAATAAAAGTATTTTTTTTAATGGCTCGAAATGTTTTTTTCGTCCGCGCGCGCGGATCACGTGTACTCTCTGTATTATATACAAAATATATACACGCAGCAGCCACGCGTGGTGTACATATTCACAACCTTGCGGGGACTATTTTCAATAAGCGACACACAAAAGCTTTCACAAAATATGATCCCGAGAGCGCGCGCACCACCACCCGGGCTAAGAGTATAAGTGTCATAAAAGCTCTGCGCCGCTCACGCTGCTACAAGCTTAATATCGCGCGCGCCACCCTATTTGTGCTTTTCTTTCGCGCGTATATAACGCACACATTCGTACACATAATACGTATGTGTGAAAGTGTGTGCGTGCGTGCGTGCGTGTGTGTGGCAAGTACTATACGTTCGCATTTATGTGTACGTATATATGTATTTTTCTCTCTAGCTCGCTCGCTGGCTTCTTACAAGCTTTTAAAGACGACGACGACGCTCGGCACGACACTCGTCTTCTGCCTTCGTTCCCATAGATATACATCAGCAGCTGCTGCTGCTGCTGTTGCTAGCTGCTAGTGTTGCTATTATATACCGAAAAAGAGGAGAGTGAGAGAGTACGTATATGTGTGCGGGTGTATCTGCCAAGGAACATTTCTATAATCCTCTTTTAGCACCTAACCTCCCCGACTCCGGCTCGTTTTCGCGTACTGCTACTGCCTCTGTCTCTGTATGATTATTCGAGGTTGGCTAGAGAGAAAAGTTTTGAATTTTCTTTCCTTTCTTTTTACTTTTTTTTCTTCTCTCCCTCTCTCTTACTTTATACTTTGTCGCGAAGTGAGAGAGCCGCGCAACCTCAAAACCTACTTGTTTCGTATCCATAAAAGAGAGTATCATAGCGCCTCGGCTATATAGAGAGAGAAAAGGTGAAGCAGGCGAGTTTTCTCGCTGCTCTCGTGTCGTATGGCGCGCGAGAACTACGCGAAAGCGACCTTGAATTATGAGCTAAAGTCGCTGCTACCACCGTCTCTTTCCTTCCTCGGCTGAATGCGAAAAGATGGAACATCGCATCTACGCTACTTAATCTTTTGATGCACTTGAAAAATGTGTCCACCCCACACCCCCGCAACGGCAGCTTCTTCTTCTTCTTCTTCTTCTTGCTACTACTGCTACTACTACCACGCGTACTATACTACACTTCGGCTTCCTCCTTTCTTTCTCGCGGCGCGCTTGGCTTTCTCTTTTATAAAGTGGATATAATGTTTCACGGAGAGATGGAATATCAATGGAGAAGGACTATGTACGATGCGATTGTAATTTTCCTTACCCAGCCCCCCTTTTCCAGGGGGATGGGGGAGCAGCGACGGCAAGCGAATATTATTTATCACGCTCGTGGATTTTTCGAACCTGTGGCTCCTTTCGCCCTCGCGATTATTAATATTCATCTTACGATGCCGCGATATTTTATGGTTTATGTGTGACTGTCTAATTTTCGTTGATGTAATTGAAGTAATGAAACATAAATACACATACAACATGTACACTAGCAGTATAAAAAAATGAAAAAAGAAAAAAAAATTGACATTCAACAATATCGTTTTACCGACAACTATTGAATTATATAGAGACGTATAATCGAGAAGTCGTTATAGAGGAAAAAATCAATTGACTCACCTTCGGACTTTGGAGCGGGTGGTTTACGAGTCGCCCAATTTGTTCGAATATTCCTGCTTCCCAGCCACTGTCCGTTCATAGCACCTATTGCACTTTCGGCTTCCTGCAATCACACGCAAAAAAAAGAGAAAAGAAATTAATAAATCGAAAATCAATGTCATCGGAGAGCTATATAAATCGATATCGTACACGTGCCACGCACGCAAATTGTCCTGTATATTTAACAATGGCTTTTCAGCGCGAGGCTTAAATACAGGATGCTTGTAAAATATGTACATGTATGTGTGAGTGAGTAAGTGTGCGTGTGTGTGCGCGCGCTTACCATCCAGAAACAAAAGTGATTTAGAGGTCAGAGGACAAGAGACGTCGTCTGGACGCGCTATATATGTATACACACACACACACACGTACACCCATACGAGACTCCGGGATCGAATTGCACGGAACATAAAACGGGCGGAGCGGAGCGCATTGGGTAAACGAGCCAGTTTTCTCCTGGTTAGGTATATGAGAGAGCCGCCGCCACCACCGCCGCCGCCATGACCGGCGCGCAAGTAACTTTTTGCACGAGGGTAGAAGAAAAAAGAAGAAGGAGAAGAAGAAGAAGAAGAAAAAAAAGTATAAGGGTTAAAGGGCTTTTGAACCGAGAAAAGTCTCCTTATACCAGAAAACACGACAGCTTGTTTGTATATTTTTAATTATAAAAGATCGATCGCCGCTCGGTCGTCGCTCGCGTCGATCGATATTTATACAGACTTTTCCGCTGCTGCTGCCTCGGTGGACGTAATACATAATCTGCACAATCCGAAAATAGCTAATTCTTCGAGCTAACAAGCTCTCCCATAAAACATGGTCAGTTTAGCCAAACAGCTCTCGTGCATATAGTGGCTGGCTCTCTTTCTCTCTGCGCTGCAGCGGTTAACAGCAGCAGCAGCAGCAGCAGACGAAAATATAGGAGGGCAGCAAAAACGTGCGCAGCAAATAAAGAAAGCCTCACAGGCATTTCGAGCTCGTTCGGTATATAGATATATACATGTACGAGGTAAAAAAAAAAAAAAAAAAAACGAAGCCAGCCGCACATATAGGAGCATCGTGCTCAGAGAGAATCTAACGTGTGGGTACATACAGACTGGTTTCTCTCTCTCTCTCTCTCGCTGCGGCGGGCACACACACGCGGTTCAAAAAGAAGGTAAGAACGAAGAAGAAGAAGAAAAAAACTACGATAGCTGCAGATAGGCGACCGGGCTACTAGGCTGCGCTCCACCACCGAGTGTATGTGTGTGTGTGTGTAAGTGTGTAGGCCCTGGCTACATAGGGTCCGAGTAGACGAAGTAGCCGGCTATATAGCGCGTATATCTAAAATGAGATCGCATGACCGGGCTTGAGCTTGAACAAAAAAAAATAAAGAAAAAAAAAATAAGAGGCAGGAAGAAAAAGAGGAGGAAAAAAAACATACAAACGAGAAGACACGAGCCAAGGCGATTAGGCGCGCGTACAGAGCGCAGTAGCCCTAGACCATTGGCGTGTGCGTGCTTATATGTACGTGTGCGAGAGCCTTAATGTGTAGTTTTGGCGTGGGTAGGTGTACGTTAACGCGGTTTTCGATAGGCTGATCTGTGTAAACGATTGTTTCGACTGCGCTCCGGGCAGCAAAGTTGGTAAAATTTACTCGGAAACGTACTACAATGCGAGGATTACATCGATTCGCTCGCGCGGGGCTGATCGAGTGAAATTACGAGAGATACGTAGTTGTATTGGCGCGAGCAGCTGTTTCGCGAGTGCGATCCTTTTTCAGAGCAAATTAATTGCTCCCCATCCCCTAAAGAGTATATATAGGGTATATGTAACAAAGAACGATGTAAATTTTTTTGTATAAACGAGGTATAAGAGCTTTAAGATCGCCTCGTAGAGGAGAGGGTAGTAAAAAAAGGGGGCACAATTTGGCGCTAATTAGCAGCAACTGAGCCATAACGATGTGTAAATGTGTGGGTGTGTGCAGCAAAAAAACAGCTCAATTATCTTGTATAAAATAAACATTAAGCGTCGGGGGCGATGAAAGGGAAGAAAAAAAGTCGAACAAATCGATATATGCCTCGTGCACACATACACACGCTGTAGAGAAAAGGGAGAGCAGAGTTAAAAAGAAGAACACATAAATAGGGTGCGAGATAACAAAATAAAAAAAAAAAAAAAAGAAACGAAGCAGCAGCAGCAGCTAAAGTGTGGATTTGTCTAATCCAAGGTAAAAGAAGAATAGCTCTCTCTTGCTACACGTTGTGCGGGATCGGGCGGGCTATATAAACTAGTGCGTGATCGAGTGGGCGATCGTTTATTCGTTGATTCGCGCGCCGCGCAGCTATACTACTACTACTACTGCTACTGCTACTCCACCCCCTACTCTTTCGTTACTGCTATATATATATGTGGTGAGGGCGTAAAGGTGGAAGTGAAGAGATCGCGTGTAACGAGCAGCAGCACCCTTTTTTTAAGGGTAAATCTTGATCGAGTAGATGAGGAAAAAATTTGCCATTACGCCGAGCGCGCTCGGGAGAGAGAAAAAAGGGGGTTGAAAAAAATCTGCCCTTTATATTATACTATCTTTAACGTCGTGCAAATATGCGCGTTATATCGGATGTATCCGGATCGACGCTGTAATATAAATTTCGCATCTCGTTGGGCACGCAAGATGTGCTTTGTATAATAAATAAACGTATATATCATAAAACGCGACGCTATACGCAGAGGAGATCGCGCGCTGTAACCGGTAGTCATTTTGAAGAATTGATAAGAGCGATTACGTTATACATGTATATAGAGAGAGACGCGCGAAGGGGTTATCTACGATCTCTGATAAATCGTACGACTGCAGCAGCAGCAGCCGCGCCACGTTGGTACATACATATAGATCTTGCCTCTCTTATATAGTATATAGTAGAATATATATAAAGTAGATCTATATGTACATAGAGGCTCGGAAGTTTCAAGCTTTCTCTCTCTCTCTCTCTCTCTCTCTTTGCCGCTAGTACGCGGCTGTGCTGTGTGCGCTGCACCGCGACGCGCGGGCACACGCCAATCGAACTTACACAGCGAGCGACCGAGCGAGTGCAGTTTCCGATCGGCCGTGATATATATCTGTATATCTATATCGTACTGAACAGAGCCAGGCGTGCTATATATAATATATATAGAGAGAGCTCTTGCAGCAGCAGCAGAGAGAGACTCACGACACATCAAGCGTTAATAATGTCGGCGGTGTCGCTGAAACTTTTGCTCTTACCGCTGCTACTGATCACCGCTTGTATCTTGCAACCGAGTCAAAGTGAGTTTCTCTCTCTCTCTTTATCTCTCTCTATCTATTTATCTATCTATCTCTAGAAATAATTTTCACGATGTGGATCGATTTTTGCGAGTGTGTCCATTTTCAATGGTATATTTATTGTTGCAACAATTTTTTGTTTCAAGGTCGAGCGATGGTCGGCGAGTGCAAGGAGATCTGGGTGAAGAAGTGCATGGAGTACTGCAAGAGCCCGAAATTCCTCTGCCTGCACATGGTTAACTTTCCCGATCAGCCGTACTGCAACTGCTCGATACTGCTGTATAAATAGCTGCTGGCGCTGTGTACCTCACACGACGCCGCAGAAGCAGCGAAACGCATCGTGATCGCGAGCGCGTATTGTTTTGACAATTGGCGCTCGCGAGCAGCTCGTTTGCTTACATCGGTATGGATGTATATGCACGCCGCGAGAGAAAACACAAGATCTCGGGCAATTTTGTAATCGATGAATAATATTTACGTATTTTGTTACGTTTTCGTATATTAATAAAAAAATTATACGCATTTTTTTTAAAGAAAATGAATAAATAAACGCAAATTTGTTATCGTTGTTTGGAATTGAGCTCACTTATAATGTAAATAAACGAACCTTGAGAGATTCTTTCGTACATAAAATCTACCGAGTATAATATAAGCCCGAAGTGAGTAACGAATTTTCTTGTCGATCGATTGGCAGAAGAAGAAGAGGAGGAGGGGAGGAGAAAATGTAAACAACGACGACCATAAGCAAACATCCGAATAAATTAAAATCTACCCAACGAGGCCGTATAGATAAATACATATACGCGTAATATGCTCAAGCTCGATCGATCTCTTGCAACATCTCTCTCTCGGCGGTTAATATAAACAGAAAATAAAGAGAACTAAAAAAGCACGAAGCTGTAGATACGCGGTCTTGTGTGTCTGTATTTGTGCGAGCTTCTATCGAATGGAGATCGAGAGGAAAGTAAAAAAAGAGCTCTCTCCATGTGTGTACACCGGAGTTGGAGTGATTCCAAAATACAAGGGGGAAAGAATCACCTTGACAATGGGCACTCTTGTAACGACGATTATTCGCTAATTTTTACTTTGTACGACTTATACGCCTCGAGCCAGAGCCACGATATGAAATTAAATCGAAAGCAAAACGAAAATCTTCCGCATTTTTCTATGGTTTATCGTTAATATGCGCAGGCAAATACCTGAAAATCGGCATTCAATGAACTTTGCGCGCTATGTGCGTAGGGTTAAGCTTGCGAGAGCGAATCGAAGCTCTACCAACCTATATCTACATTCAGGGGGAAGAGAATCGACTTACATATCGTTCCGAGCGCGAGCACCACCGAGTATAAACAAAGCCAATAAATCCGAACGTACATATGAAAGATCTCGGCTTGATAAACAACGTAAGCGTGGGCTGCGTGCGTGTGTATATGTGCAGTCGGCACCTTCGCTCCCTCCCGCGTGCCTCCTGACTTCTCTCTAAACATGCGCGCACACACCTATAACACACATACACATCGGGTGAATCGATTTCCACTACTGCTGCTGTGCGCTCGCATCGAAGGAACGAAACGCTATAGGGTTATACGGAGAGAGTACAATTTAACGATTTCGGCAAACAAACACACGATAGAGAGCTTAAAGCCTGAGATTTGATTTACTCTCTCCCTCCACTCCGACTGCCGAGCTGCTGTTACTGCCTGGGGTTTTCATATATACTCGGCTATAGAGAGAGAAGAAGCCAATGCACACATAAATACAGTTTCTCTCTCTCTCTCTCGGCTACAACCGCATCATGCGGAGAGCTGTATTGAGGATCGATTTTGCACCCGATTGTTCAACGGGTCTCGGGGCAAGATCTTAATTTAAATTTCGTACGTATAAACGATGCAGAGGCGCAAAATGAGAAAAAAGGATGAGAAAAAAATTATCCGCGCAATTTATATATCATATATACGTTTAATATTTAATATCGCGAACGCGGGTCGATGTAAATTCTTTGACTTCACGAGTAGCTACCTACAACACGTTGCTATATGAATATAAACAGCAGCAAGGCAGGCTAGAGACGAGGTAGAGAGAGAGAGAGTACGGCATGTATAAAGAGCAAACGAGGTGTCTACGGGTCGACTTGTGCTGCTGCTGCTGCTGCTCTCGGGTGCTCTCTTTGGCCGGGCCTGCCTTGCCTGCCTGCCTAGGCGCCTAGGCAGGCTAACGACATTCGAGTAACGAATTTGCAAACCGGTGTATAGGGCGCGCAGGTAAAGTATACATGCAGCACACGTATACACAGAGCTCGATGTATATATGAACTTTGAAATGGTGCAAGCAATGAGGTTGTGGCACACATACAGAGCGCAGACACGTTTATAACTGTTCCATATATCGCGCGTGTGTGTGTGTGTCTGTGTCACTTTGTGTAAAAGTTATCGATGTTCGCATGCGTCGACGCCAGACACGACTCTCTCTCTCTGCAAAATCCTTTCGACGTTACACATACGTATATTTCTGTTTCGGAGCTCTCTTCGCTGCAGAGAGAAGAGTCGAATCATTTACAAAGTTTATCATTACTCCTTTCGAAGGGCTTGCAGCAGCAGCAACCCTATAATACGATATAGCTCTCTCTATATCGATCCGCGCGCAGGGCATTACTATCAAAGCTCTTTCACTCGCGATATCACAAAGTTTTTTTCCGATATTTTTTTCGAATCTCTCTCTCTCTTCTTTCTGCATATTTCTCGCGCAGCAGCACCAGCCCCAGAAAGAGCGCGCGGGGGTAAGAGTATAGAAAAAAAATATATCCCACGAAACTAGCTCGTCAATTAGAGCAGTGCAGAGCTCCCCGTCGACGACGACGACGACGAGCGAGAGCCCCAGACAGACCTACATACGCGATCCTTTGATTTACAATTTTTCTACTTTTTTTTTGCATCGTGCTTCGCTCTACGTAAAAAGAGACGGCTGAGTCACGGATCGTCGTTTAAAGCCCATGGCTGATAAAGTCGATATATAGAATCGCTATTCGTTACCTTTTTTATATACTCCCGGGTCAATTAGCTTTGCTGGTGCAGCAGCAGCAACAGCAGCCGCGGCGCAACAAGAAACTTACTGCTACCGCTGCCTGCTACTGCCGAGCTTGCGCGTTGCGGGGGCGAAATGTGCGCGCATGTGGAAACGTAAAAGCGAAGAATTTATTATAAGCAGCGGTACTCACGTGTGTTTGTGTGTGTGAGTGCGTATTTATACGTGTGTCCGCGGTATATATATGTAGCTCGATTTGAAGCTGAATAATGCGAGCCTCTTTTCTGTCGGCGATAACTTTCGTAGTGTACTTGTAGCCGTACAGTAGCCACGCAGTCGTGTAAGCTACTACCGTGCACAAGCGCGTATACGTATGTGCAGAGGCAAGAAGAGGTCAGTTTCTCTCTCTCTCTCTCTTTCTCGTTGTGTGTATGCCGCTGCTGCCGCCGCCGGTGTAGTACATATACCCGAAACGGAAACGCGGATCTAAATTGCGACGCTGACCGCAAACGTTGCTCGGGCGCTTCCGGCCACCAAATGGCCGGTTTCCTGTGCTCGCTTTTCTTCGCTTATATTTGCGCGCCGGCCCGCCGACGACGACGACGACGACGACGACAACAACGATCGATCTTTTGTACACACGTACACACAAAGAGACGGCGGCGGCGGTGGCCGGCGTGCAGGTCTCTGTATACACGTGCGTGCGTTTGTAAGCGCGTACGTATTGGTGCCGGACTTTACGATCTGCGGAGAGCTCTTTCTATGGCCACGTGAATTTTCATTGACTATGTGTGTGTATGGCATGCAGAAATACTCGCAAGCACACGCAAGCACACGCGAAAGAGAGAGAGAGAGAGAGAGAAGTCGAGCTTGCAGAGTATTATCTTTCACGTACTTTTTTGATACGCGAATGAATTTGGTTTAACGTCAATTTTGCTTGATGTACCCCGGTTTCAGCTGGCGTGCACGCGCAAGCTCGGTACCCAGAATCGAGCTTGCAGGGTTCTTTCCGGGTATAAACTATACACATGTATAAACCCCGAAAAAGAGAGAAAGAGGTAACAAAAAAAGGAGAAATAGATAACGTCAACGGCAGTAGAGATCGTAACCGAGGCTTATTGACGAAATGCAGTTACAAGAGAGAGAAAGATACGATATAATGAAGAGTCTACCTTTGCAGCGTAGACGCACTCCGAAATTCGATGCGATAATTCATTATTATATTACACGCGCAGCGGCATCAGCAGCAGTGATTCACGAGCTTTATAATCCAATGCTCGACGATACTTTTGGTGCCTACACACGCGCGTACACGGCGTGGGTTAATGGCTCGCGGGGCACGGAACTCGCAGCGAGCTTTGAGTTACGAAAATTCCCCGGAGCGCGCATTATTACGTAGTACGCGAAAAACGCGTACATGTATTTCGATATTCCCAAAGTATCGTCGATTCGACGCACAGCAGCCCCGGCACAGACTTATCGGTACATTATTGCCACTCTGCAGCTTATTACTGCGCGTACTCCAAAATCGAATGAACACGAATATTTCACGCGTAAACTTCTTTGTGCCCTGGAGTACGTACGTACATTACGGTATAAGCATATACTCGCACGCACACGCATTCGACACATCCTCGCGGAGAATTTATATTCGATGAAAATGTTCGCGGCGCGCTCGGAGTCAAAAAGCGCGCCCCTATATGGCACGCACGTACTTTTTCTCTCTCTCAAATTTTCCCTATTTTTTGCGTGATTCAAAACTCCTGCAACTGCGTGTGTGTATACGTTATATACGTAGAAGCCACCAAGGGACGCGTGGCGCGTGCGACAATGGAAAAAGCTCTGGATGCGAGCTTGCGCAGCGTGTGGCAGCGGTGGTCGGCGTCGTTGTCGCGTGGCGCGCAGCACAGCCTGACGCCGTCCTCGTCGTTGGTGTCTTGGCAGGCGCACCTTTATTGAATGATATTCGTTTTAATATCGGAGCTGCCACTATGTATATAGTAGCTTCGGCACGTACTACTACTACTACTACTACTACTACTACTACTACTACTACTACTACTACTACTACTATATAGTGTACGGCACCCCCCGAAAATATAGTCGATGGAATTTGCGCGTCGCCTCTGTGTGCAGCAGCAGCAACAAAGGAGGAAAATAACCTCCTTTTTTTCGCATCCTCTCTCTCCTCGTATACCTACTACTATATCCTCCCCTGCTGCTGTCGCCCGCGCGTCGTACCCCGCGCGCCCGTGCACAAAAAACATCGCAATCGCGCTAAGTGAGAAGATTTTGAGCGCGCGTACGGCATTTGAGAGCAGATTTAAAGGAAAGAGGTAGAGAGAGAGAGGGGGAGGGGGGATGGGGGCAAAAAATCCGTAGCATCCTTCGAATAAGAATTTTATTATTTTTCTTGTGCGGAAAAGTGGAGGAGGACGACGTGGCTCGTACAAGCTTTACCTTTCTGTGTACATACCTGTATATATATATGCGCGGCGGCTTTTACCTACACACGTATATACACACGTGCACATGCACGTAGAGAGAAGCTAGCGCTAGCGTAGCGTAGCAGCAGCTGCAAGTGGATAAATCTGCAGCTCGTATACGAAATGAAGGGGTTTGGTAGAGAGCTGCAAAGGTATATAGTACGTAGCAGTGCTTGCGCGCGTTATCGCACACAAATACGCTCGTGGGTACGTGTGTCTGTGTGTATGTTATTGATTCGATTTCGGCAACTCTCTCTCTATCACGCTCTGCCTCTGCCTCTCTCTCTCCCTCTCCGTACTGCATGTGTGTACGTATACACAGGAGTGCTCTTATAAAATTGGCAACCACCGGCGTCTGTATATGTATCACTGGAGAGAGAGAGAGAGAGAGAGAGAGAGAAAGATCGTATCGAGACGCGTATACTCGTGTGCTTGCGGGTGTGTGTGTATCTGTGTGTAATGTATACGTACTTATACGCGAGAGGTGCGGTGCATTTGTATCGTGCGAGAGAGCACGAGCGAGAGAGGCAAATTCGTGCCTCGAGAATCAATGCGCCTTTTTCCGCGTGTATAAATAATATATCATGTTGTGTATCGAGATTTATAGTGTTTCAAAGTGGAGAGGAGGGAGGTATGCATGATGCACTTACTGTTTTTTTCACGAAAGACACGAAGCCGTAGCCTTTGGATTTCATCGTCTGTGGATCTCTCACGACCCTGCAGTCCCTGTAACATGACAAAAAAAACAAAGATCATTGAGTATTGTTACTTTTCGTACACATAACTATTGGCGTTTTTTTGAAGATATTGTACGTAACGAATGATTAAAATTATTGTTGTATAAAGAAACCTCCGAAGGGAGCCTATACGAGCTTTATTCTTGCTTTTCTCTCTCCAGTGTAATTTTCGGAATTCTTTATAAATACACGTGCCAGGGCAGAGGCAGCACAGCCTCAGCGTCGATATATTTCTCACAAGACTCGAATTCACCGTCAAACAAGGCGTACCAGCCGAGAGAGAGAGAGAAAGAGAGAGAGAAGGCAAGGCAGGGCAAGCAGGCACAGGCAGGCATACATAAAATCGAGTCTCGCTCGCTCGCTCGGCTCTCTATGTGTAAGTATACGAACCTACATCTCTATCTCTATACCTATACGTATATCGCCTCGACTGCTGCTGCTGCTGCTGGTGTACGTGTACGTGTGCGAGAGCGAAGCGATGAAATTTTCAAGCGACATTTCGCGCACAACCATCCTTAAAAATCAAGAGCGTTAAGAAACGTAAAATTTACCTCGTTCTCCTCCTGGCAGCGGCACTCGTAAAAGTGTACGTATACGGTACGTACGTACGCGCGCCTCGCCTCGCCTTTCGCGTACTTTACGACGCGGGACGTTTTGCCACCGCCGCCGCCGTCGCCTCCGCGCGCGCTCTGGAGGCAACGATAAAAACGGAAGATCGACAAGGATGTATAAGCCCAGCAGGAACAGAAGCGGCGGCGGCAACGACGCAGCTGCCTTTTTTCCCGTTTTCTGGCACGATTGTTAGACCTCCTTTTTTTTCTTCTCCTTCTTCTTTACACTCCCCCTCTCGGCGTATTTTTCCGTGCCCAGATCCAGCTGTTCCGGTTGATCGGTACAGGCAGGCAGGCAGGGTCCGCGCACTAGCTAGCTAGCTACAGCTCTATATACAGAGCGACAGGCTGGCTACTGTTGCTGCAGCAGCAGCTAGCTAGCAACTACTACTACTACTGCAACTGCACACGACAATTAACAGAGCTTTATTACGTACTATCAAGAGCCTTTTCTTAATCGTGCTCCCCGATGTATCGCTTTTTATGGCCCTATCCAATTTATTTCGTTTTTATTTTCTATATCTTCTTTTCTGCTCTTTCTATTTTTCCTACACAACTCGCACTCCCCCGTATCTCTTTTCTCGTTTCTTCCATCTCTCTCTGCGCGACGCTTCAGCCTACTTCCACAACTTTACGATTTTCGAATTGTCGAGTTATTTCAAAAAGAGAGCTAGAGAAAGAAGTTTCTTTTTTTTTCTTCTGTGCTTGCGCGCATTGTGCCGTGCCTCTCGAACGGAAGATAACGGCTGAATTAAAACACTATAAATTTTACTAAATTGTTAAAATATTTTCGGCTTTTTTAAAATGCAAATCTTATCTCGCGAGATTTGTTATATATAAATAAAGAGAAAATTCTGCTGTCAGGCGAGTTTTGAAAATTAGTCCGGGTTAAGTCTTCGATCAAGCGTGAGCTAAATGTAACGACAAAATTGGTATGGCAACCATTAGCTATAAGGCAAGAATGTGCCAGGAATGGTTGTTCGCCGCAAATCACGGCGTTGTTGGACCTGGTGAATATTTACTTGAGTCGCTCGAGCGATCGGCTGTTCACTAGGCAAAAGATTTGAGCTCAAGCTACGACTTTGTAACTGTTGGTGCAGGCAGTGCCGGCTGCGTCATGGCCAATCGACTTAGCGAGATCGAGGACTGGCGGATTTTGCTGATCGAAGCCGGCGACGAGGAGTCACTGGCCGCCGAGGTACCCGCTCTCAAGATGGGTGGCAGCAACGCCGATTACGGCTATACAACCGAGCCCGAGCCCGTAGCCTGCGTATCCGCGTGGCAAAGTCATGGGTGGCACCAGCAGCATCAACGGCATGTGGTATGCGCGAGGCTCGCGACACGACTACGATGAGTGGGCCAACCTCACTGGTGATCCCGATTGGAGTTATCAGGCCGTTCTGCCTTACTTTAAAAAATCGGAAGATCTGCGAGTTAAAAAGGTAATGTCTCGAACTACTTCCTATTATATTGAAAAAATAGTAAGTTTCTTTTTTTTTAGAGTAGATATTGGATAAACATCCAGAAGCCCATGGCACGGGTGGTTATCAGGTCATTGATTATTTTTCTTATGACGACGATAATTCGAACTTAATCTTCAACTCTTTTCGGGACATGGGACTAAAGGAGGTGGATTACAGCAGCGGCGACGATATGATCGGTGTGTCAAAGCTTTTGCGAACGACAGTTCATGGCTCACGTCAGAGTTCCAACGGAGCATTCATCCGACCCATACGAAGCAAAAGAAAAAACTTGACGATCTTGAGTAACGCCAAAGTGACAAAAATCGTCTTGGATCCGTCAGCTAAGCGAGTCGAAGGTGTATTCTACAACAGGAGAGGACGGATTGAATACGTAGGCGCGAAAAAAGAAGTCATCCTGTCGGCTGGAGCCATCGATTCTCCTAAGCTACTCATGCTGTCCGGTATCGGATCTGCGCATGTTCTGAAAGAGTCAAAAATTCCTCTGATCCACGAGCTGCCGGTCGGTTCAAATTTACAGGATCACGTCAACGTCCAGGGCTTCCAGTTCAACTTAACTTCGCGCGCTTACCGAGAAAACGGCTTGAGTTTGTACAACTTTCGCGACGATCTGGCCTATTGGCTGAGCACTCGCGAGGGTCCGCTATCCGCTACGGGTATGATGGACTTGATAGCTCATGTGCAAACGCCGCTCGAGTCTCGGCCTGGCGTGGCCGACATGCAAGTTCACGTTATCGGTCAACTGACGCCGCGAGAGGAGCCCAGTCCCATGATCAACGCCTTTATGCCATTTGCCTATTACGACGTTGTGAACATGGGCGTGAGCATTCTCAAACCAAAGAGTGTAGGATCGGTAAAATTGAGCAAATCGAGGCCGGAGTCTTCGGCACCCAGGATCAGTTTGAACTATGTAACACATCCAGATGACAAGCGGATCCTGGTAGAAGGACTAAAGATGATGCAAGCCTTTTTCGAGACGGCAACTTTCAAGAAAAGTGGCTTAAAACTCAACGATTCGCCGGGCTGCGAACATCTGCAGCAGGATCGAAACGACGAGTACTACGACTGCATGATACGACTCTATTCGAATACGAATTACCATCCGGTGGGCACTTGTAAAATGGGACGTGAGCATGACGAGACAGCCGTCGTGGACACGAAACTCAAGGTTCGCGGCTTGGAGGCTTTGAGAGTCGTTGACGCATCGATTATGCCGACCATCGTTCGGGGCAACACACACACACACCTGTGGTAATGATTGCGGAGCGAGCCAGCGATATGATCAAACTTGAGTGGCAGCGTATTTAATCGAAAAATATTGTAATTAATGAAAACTGCTGATTTCTCACTTTTTTTTTACATTTATTGTAAATTAATCCACCGATAAGTACTTGTAGTGATACAAATTGAAAATATGAAATCTTGCGTACACTTAGAAAATTGTTATTTTACAAAACCTAAATTAAAAAAAAATTAAGTATCCAAGAGAATCACTCCAAAAATGTTCAATTCTAAAGTGTCATGCATCAAGTGTCAAGCATATCATCTAATCAATATCAGGTAAACACTGTTGACGGAGAAAAAGGGATACGATTCTTACATAATAGTAGTTTTCTCTACATTTTTTAAAGTCTTGAAAGCACACGAATAGTTCGAAATATAAGTAGCGTGGGAATGCGCGCGCATTAGACAAATCTTTGTGCACACGATTTTCAAATGATATTATTCAACCTTATATTGCGTAACGAGTTGTGTATAACGATCAAAGATTAAAGAAATCAAGTTTGCCACAAGGAGTTTTGAAAAACAATTTTTGTTTCTTTTAAACACACCTCTCTCTTATCGTAAATAAACAGAAAGACGATGTTACAATCAGGTGAGTTTTGCAGATCAGTGATTGTCAAAGCCTCGAATTAAACGTACAGAGAAAAAAAAAGAAAAAGAAAAGAGAATGGCATGGCAACCATTGGTTGTAAGGGAGGAATGCGCCAGGACCGGATGTTCGCCTCAAGTCATGGCGTTCCTGACGTTGGTGAACATCTACGTGAGTCGCTCGAACGATCGACTGTTCGCCAATAACCAAAACTTGAAAGATTCGAGCTCGAGCTACGACTTCGTGATCGTCGGTGCAGGCAGTGCTGGTTGTGTATTAGCCAATCGGCTTAGCGAGATCGAAGACTGGAAGATATTGTTGATCGAGGCCGGTGACGAGGAGCCCTTGGCTTCAGACATACCCGGATTGAGCATGGAACGAAGTAGCGTCGATTATGACTACACAACCGAGCCCGAACCCATAGCCTGCGCCGCAACAAATAATCGATGCCCTTATCCGCGTGGCAAAGTCATGGGTGGCAGCAGCAGCATCAACGGTATGTGGTATGCACGTGGCTCGCGACATGACTACGACGAGTGGGCCAACCTCACCGGCGATTCAAATTGGAGTTATGATGCTGTATTGCCATACTTTAAAAAATCTGAAGATCTACGAGTCAAAAAGGTAAAATATCTAATCACTAAACTCTTTTTAAAAAGTGATCGGTAGTTTCGCATATAGACGATTGTTTTATTATCTGTCGACTTAAGTCGTAAAGTAAGTGACTATCTTTCTTTTAAATATGATAATACTTTCTATCTCTAGCACAAGATGGCGAGTACATTTATTCGTCAATCTGCTAGTGGTAAAGTAAAAAAAATTGTATAAGCCAAAGTGCGATTTAAGAAAAATTACCCTCCTGTAATTTTTACCTTTGCCTAAATCTGTATCATGAGTCGTGTTGTTATAAATTTTCGAACTACGAGTTATTATAAGTCTAATCGCTCGAAATGCGTTGAACGAGACAAGTTTTGTACTACATTGACCTTATAAATTTATCTTCTTCCACAGGTCTTGAAAGAAC